CTTAAAGAGAACCGAGTCAACGGCACAAGCAGACTCCTCACGATGGTTTTCTTTTCCAGGTTGGACATTCCCATACTCACCTGACTCAGCATCATTTGGGGAAAAAGATTGCATCCCCTGGAGTCGGCCACACTGTCCTGGACCTCATCCATTCCCACAACAACACACTTGCATCGCATGAGTCCCACTCTGCTGAAGTGGTCCAAGCAAGTCCAGTGGTCCAAGCAAGTCCGGTGGTCAAAAGAGCTGCAGCTGACGTACCACAGATCCAGCCAATACCACATCTCCAACAGTGTCCAGGGAAATACCGACACTTTGCCATATAAACACAGAATTTTGCTGAGATATATAGAAGCAACGGGAATGTCCCATTAATAAATGCATCTTTGATGTCCCCCTAAACCTGAACTCAAAGAAGACTTTACCCTGATAAGTCACAGCAATAATTGGCAAACATTTACTCCCTCTTCTTAGCAGGGCTATATGGGTGATGTCTCCATCCTGGTGCTTCTCACAGATTAGTATCTTCTACCCTTTCTATCATTTTTAGTTTATTCTGAAAATAAGTTTCTAGGCCTCAAGATCATCAGTTGGGAACATGGAAATAGTCTACGATGATATCATATGAACAAGAGGAGAGCTGGACAGATGTTTGGATATTCCAAGGAGATTCCTTCTGCCACATAGTTTCCTAACTTTTTCCTTTCAGTAGCAGAAATAGAAGAAAGTGCACAAATGATATAATATCATAATTTACAAGTTAGATAATTAAAATATGACCGAATCTATTGTGCCACATAGAATCAGTTGTGGGTGATTTGTGTTTGGAAGGAAGAATGTATGCAACATTGGACTGAAATGACCACAAAACCTTTACCGGGTGTCTTCTCTGTATATTATTTTTCCCCCTTTCCAGTGTCCAAAAAAATGCTATGTGATATTGCAAAGGCAATGTTGGAAAATCTGTATTCAGAGTATAAGACAACCAAACCATGGTGCTTCTAAAATAAAGTATTAAATAAAAAATGTCTGTCCCTTGCCTTTTTTTCCCTTCCCTATTTGAATCCGGATCCTTGGAAAAATAGTAGACACTGCAGCGCAAATGAGGGTTGTCTTGTTAGGGAAAGAAAGGAGAGAGAGAAAGAAGTATACAATTATATAATAATAATAATAATAATAATAATAATAATAATAATAATAACAACAACAACAACAACAACAACAACTGTATTCTTATATCCCGCCATCATCATTTAAGACTCTTAAAGATGGCACAAAAATGGCACAAAGTGGCCAAAAACAAACATAAAAGTGAACACAATATAAACTTGCTTACGTACTTAACCGATCCCTCGTTGGACGAGTAGGATAGTCTTCCATGATCAGTATTCTTATGGATCCGTAGATGGCTGTGGAGCCCTATTCTTGACCTGCATCTTCTCCCACAGTGATAAAATATAATTTATCTCCCACAATATAAAATACAGTAAAATAAAACACATGCACATATAAAACATCAATTCAGACACAATCAAGCTGCAATCCAAGATATTCCAATTAGATAGAAAAAAATGAAATGAAAGATACAGAAAAGGGTATGCTTGGCTTGGAGTCCTCGTAGACAGGAAGATGAACATGAGCCAACAATGTCATGTGGTGGCAAAAAAGCCAATGGGATTTGGGTCTGCATCAATAGGAGTCTAGTGTCTAGATTCAGGGAAGTCATGCTACCCCTCTATTCTGCCTTGGTCAGACCGCACCTGGAATCATACTGTGTCCAATTCTGGGCACCACAATTGAAGAGAGATGTCGACAAGCTGGAATGTGTCCAGAGGAAGGTGACTAAAATGATCAAGGGTTTGGAGAACAAGCCCTATGAGGAGCAGCTTAAAAAGCTGAGCATGTTTAGCCTGCAAAAGAGGCTGAGAGGAGACATGATGATGGCCATGTGAGGGGAAGTCGTAGGGAGGAGGGAGCAAGCTTTTTTTTTCTACTGCCCTGGAGACTAGGATGAGGAATAATGGCTTCAAACTACAGGAAAGGAAATTCTACCTGAACATGAGGAAGAACTTCCTGACCATATGAGGTATTCAGCAGTGGAACTCTCTGCCCCGGAGTGTGGTGGAGGCTCCTTCTTTGGAGGCTTTTAAACAGAGGCTGGATGGCCATCTGTCAGGGGTGCTTTGATGAAATTTTCCTGCTTCTTGGGAAGGGGTTGGACTGGATGGCATGAGATCTCTTCCAACTCTATGATTCTATGATCCTCTAACCATGGTGGGAAATTACTGCCACCATAGCCGGGCTGTAAACATTGGAATAAAATAAGTGTTAGATACAGAGTTTAAAAACCCTAAATGTCCTTTGACCAGTATCTGGCCACTTGGAGTGCCTCTGGTGTTGCTGTAAGAAGGTCCTCCATTGTGCATGTGACAGGACTCAGACTCCATTATAATAGGTGGTCTGTAGTTTGCTCTTCTCCACACTCGCATGTCATGAACTCCACTTTGTGGCCCCATTTCTTAAGGTTGGCTCTGCATCTCGGGGTGCCAGAGTGCAGTCTGTTCAGCACCTTCCAAGTCGCCCAGTCTTGTGTGCCCAGGGGGAGTCTCTCATTCGATATCAGCCATGACTTAAGGTTCCAGGTTTTCACCTGCCACTTTTGGACTCTTGCTTATTGAGGTGTTCCTGCGAGTATCCCTGTAAATCTTAGAAAGCTATTTCTTGATTTAAGTCATTGGCATGCTGGCTGATATCCAAACAGAGGATGGACAAGAGATGTCACTGTCTTGGTCCTTTCATTATTGGCTGCTACTTCCCAGTGGATGTCAGGTGGCATAATAGCACAATTTCTCCAGCAGTGTAGGGCATAGGCATCCTGTGATAATGTGGCATGTCTCATTAAGAGCCACATCCACTGTTTTCGCATGGTGAGATGTGTTCCAAACTGGGAGTGTGTACTCAGCAGCAGAGTAGCAAAGCGCAAGGGCAGATGTCTTCACTGTATCTGGTTGTGATCCCCAGGTTGTGCCAGTCAGCTTTCATATTATAGTTTCTAGCGCCCACTTTTTGCTTGACAGTCAAGCAGTGCTTCTTGGAGGTCAGAGGTAACCCTCAGGTATTTGGGTGTGCTGCAATGCTCCAGTGGGATTCCTTCCCAGGTAATCCTCAGAGCTCAAGATGCTTGTCTGTTCTTAAGATGGAAAGCACATGTCTGTGTTTTAGATGGATTAGGATAGATTAGGAAGCAATCAGAAGCATAACAACAACAACAACAACAACAACAACAACAACTTGTGCCACAAATACCATTGGCCTGCGACAAAGAACCTGCGGGATCACAAGCCATAAAAAGTTACCTAGAATGAGCATGTCAAGCTACTCTGGGACTTTCGAATTCTGACAGACAGAATTCAAGGCTTTCTTAGTCTAGTCCTCGATGGACTGGTACCTGACTTTGATTAACTAAACTTTCTCTGTAGGAAAAACCCTTTTTAACCTCTCCCAGGCTGCTTTCTATCTATGCCTCATCAGTGTGGGACCTACTACCGACTCCAAATGCGTCTGGGTATCGAGTAGACCTACCAGCCGAGGCTTGAAGATATTTCAGCTGGAGTTCCGTGGATCTGTAATGCTGTTCTCCCTTCGAGAATTCATAGAAACTTCAGGACTGTTCCCTCTGATGCTGTGAGGCTGAGAGGTTGTGAGCTCTCAGCCAGAACTTTTGGGACCTTTTTCCTGGATGGTTAATTTCCCTGGATGCTCTTGAGAAAGGTTTTCTACAGGACAAACTGGTCTACGTCCTATAGCTTAGCTACCTTGTGTGAGACTGCCCAAAAAATGGCTCCAGAACAAGCTTAATTAAGATGGACAGGAGACCTGTCCTATGACTGCAAAACCCCCCCCCCCCCAATGAAATCCTGGCTACGGGCCTGGCTCGGATCCAGCCACAGAGAGGTGCTGTCACGAAGTGACATCAGGACTTCCTTCTTCCTTTTGGCCACCATGCATTTTCTGATCTTTTTCTTGATGGTGTCAAAAAATTATAATTAATGGGCACCCTGTGTCCCAAGGTCAACCTCTGCAACCAATGTCCTTGTTTTAACCACTGATAAGGCAATTATATTTCTCGTTTCATCAATTAAATTACTATATTTTAAATACAAGCAGCAATGATGCAAGTGAAACAAACTGACAAGGAAACAGGGAAAGGAAATTGTAAAGACGATCACGGGATTATTTTGAACTTGCATCAGTCCTCCACAAACTATCCATGAAATACACATGGTTACAGTAGGTATTGAATATTACAAAACAGATTCCCTAACACTTCTTTCCCCAAGAAAGTAAGATTGGAAATTTGAGAGTTCTCCTGGACTAATTGTTGAGCCTAGAACCCCAGGTCTCGGTGGTGGCTAGGAGTGCATCCGTACAATTAAAACCTGTGCACCAGCTGCGCCCGTAACTTGGGAAGTCTGTCTTGGCCACGGTTGTCCACACTCTGGTTACATCCCATGTAGACTACTGCATTGCGCTCTATATGGGATTGCCTTTTAAGACTGTTCAGAAGCTTCAAATAGTCCAACGGGCAGCAGCCAGATTGCTCACTGGAGTG